ATATATATATATATATATATATTATTGATATAAATTATTTGAGAAGTTGATTATGTCAATCAAGTTATAATAAATAGTTTAGATTTTCTTTAATTTAAAAAAAAAACATTGAAATAAATATAGATATTAAATTTGTAAAAAAAATATATGATCTATAAAAACTACTTTTATAAAAGTGATGGTGATGAGACATGCATATTATTAATTTCTTTGGTTCGTATATAAAAATAGTTTTGATCATTTTGCGTATATATTAAATAGTTTATTTTGATATTCATAGATTATTTGAACAAAATTTAAAATATAAAATCACTTTGATCTGTGTATATCAATCTTAATTGTTGAGAATTCTAAAAGAGAAGAAATTGAAAGCAATTCTATTAATTATGAACAAATTTAAGTTTTAGTGAGGATTAGTTTGACATCATTGCTCTTAACTATTTTTTAAATTAGAAAATATTAAAAAAAAATCAACATGAATGTACATTCAAAGTATTAAACTATATTAAAAATGATTGTTTCCATTTTTGAAAGATATTTTCAATTTTTTATATTTTAATTTGAAAACAATTATGTTACGAGATAATGATTAAATGAATTGTGATATCGAAATTGTGTGATTGTCAAAATTTAAGAAATTTTCATTTCAAAATGGTTTTATAATAAAATAAAACTAATAAACTATATTAGAGTATGAGTTATAAAAATATTGTCTAAGTTCTCAAATTTCCTAGACATACTCCTGTTTATAGAATCAATGACCTATCTATATACACACAACCATGATTTATATTATTATATAGTGTTTACACAAGGAGAGCCATTAATTAATTAATTAATATAAATTGAAAGGCATTTATTAGGGTACGTACGACATATTATGACGACCCAAAGAGTGTGCGAGTCTCCACTTGGTGTTGTTGACTTCTCCGATGAGAACATGAAGCCGGGTGGCGATGCATGGCTTGAAGCCTGTAAAGTGGTGCGGAGAGGATTTGAGGAGCATGGTTGTTTCCTAGCACGCTACGACAAGGTTGGTCCACACCTTCTCAACTCAGTTTACTATGCAATGGAACAACTCTTTGGTCTTCCCTTGGAAACAAAAAGGAAAAAAACAAGTGATAAACCAAACCATGGCTACACTGGGCAAGTACCTGCATCTCCCTTATTTGAATCTTTTGCCATTGACAATCCTTCCAGTATTGAAGACTGTCAAAAGTTCACACACGTTATGTGGCCAGAAGGAAATCATCGTTTGTGGTATTTAAATTTCCACTTTTTTGTACATATTTGTGTCTAGTTTGTTTATTGATTAATCATGTTTAAATTACTCTTTCACACCTCATTTTATTCTATTGGTTCAATTAGGTTAAATTTGATCATTAAATTTAAAAAAACTTGCAATATGATTTTTAAACGGTGTTGGCCTTTGTACAATACATATCATTTTTTTTATTGTATCACTTGTATAAAGAGTTAATGACCTCAGTCTCAGTTCTACTAAAAAAAATCATGTTGAATTGCTTTTAAAAATTAAAGGGTCAAAATTAAATCTTTTAATAATAAAAAATTAATTTGGGTTAATTAAAAAGATTTGATTATATTTTTAGTCCATTAAAACAAGTGAAAGTGTTATTTAGCCATTAATCATCAGATGTAATTGTGTTTTTCTTACGTATTTTGTTTCTCGTGAATAGTGAAAGTGTCAACGAGTATGCAAAGTTGTTAAAAGAACTAGACCAAACCGTGAAGAAAATGGTGTTTGATAGCTATGACTTGGACAAGCTGAAATGCGAGTCATTCCTCGAATCAACCAATTATGCTTTTCGAAGCTACAAATACAAGATACCTGAGATGGATGAGAGCAACGTGGGAGTGAATTCTCATACAGACTCAACCTTCATAACCATATTGCATCAGAGGGTAGATGGCTTGGAAGTTAAACTAAAAGATGGAGAATGGTTTGGTGTTGATGCCTCACCTTTGTTTTGTGTCATGGCTGGTGATGCCTTTATGGTATGCTTCTATACAATAATTCCATAGTATAATATAAATTTAAATATGTTTTTAATCGCTTAAATAAAGTAAATTTGTTTTTAATTTTTAAAATTTTAAATTTATTTTTAGTCGTTGTAATTAAAAAAAAAACAATAAAGACTTGCTTTTAGTCCTTATGCTGAAATGTTGCAACTAAATCTGTAAAAGAAAAAAAAATATATCATGTTACTTATTTATCTATTAGCATTCTTATGAACAAAAGGGTTACATGAAATATGTTATTGGAAGTCTAGAGTGACTAATAAAAATGTTTTTTTTGAATATTTTATAAGAGTTAAAAAAAATAGATTTGAGAGGATCTAAAACAAAATTTATTTCAAATTATTTAAACTTAAAATACATTTAGTTAAATTTTATTGTCTAAGCTTTTTAGTTTTAGTTTTGTAGCCATGGAATCAGTATTTCCAAATTTCAGAACATTTGATTTGACAAATATTTCATTTCTTGGCTTAGGTATGGAGTAGTGAAAGGATACGTGCTTGTGAACATCGTGTTATCTTGAAATCGAAGGTAATGAGGTACTCCTTGGGATTACTATCATACAGTACAAAAAAGGTGCAGACATTAGAGGATCTAGTCGACGAGGAGCATCCTATACGCTATAAGCCATTTGACCATTATGCATACGTTGGTTTCCGTTTCACAGAAGAAGCCGTAAAATGTACAAGTCGAATCAAGGCATTTTGTGGAATTTAATTTGAGACAGCCTATGTTTCATATGAAGGAACTGAAGACAATTTCATATGCACCTCTATAATAAGAAAAGAATAATTGGCATGTGTCTGAAGTTGATTGTTATAGTTGTGTTTGTCCGGTGCAACTTATCAGTTTATATATTATAAATTTTCTTGCTTCTAGAAGTAAATAATTCAGTGTGTTATTGTAAATTTTCTCTTTCAGATGAAATATGATTTATTTAGTGTACCGCCCAACCATGATGGATAGAATTGCTCTCACAATGGGTATCCATGCATGATAAAATGTTTAGGATTTCAATCTAAAAAAAATTATTATTATAAGAAAATTGTCATATGACACATATTTTAACATAAAAATTGTCGTCAAAATTTATTTTTATTTATATAATAAATATAATATATGTTAGTATATTGATAAAATGTGTAAGTATTTACTATATTTGTTGGAATTATTGAAGATTGTTGAGTTAATTACTGAAATCTCTCTTGAAGATCTTCATGAAAATTGAAGATGTTTTAGTTTTGATGATGTTAGCATTAGTTGTGATAAGTTTGCTTCGTTTTTTTTATATATTTTATGGCCTATATGTTGAAAAGGATATTGTATTGCTTGTTAATTAGACTTAGGTATGAATGTGTTTGCTTATTAATATTATCTTAATGAATTAATTTTAAAATTACATCTTGTTTTAGAAAGCATAAAACTAAATATTTCTCATTTCATGTGAAAACATAATGTAAGAAATTACAAAGTGTTTTGACATAAAATGAAACTTGGTTCATTCAAAAGAATTCAAGGTTAAGTCATGTAATAAATTATTATGAGGTAATAGATTACTGAAACTTAGTTTTGAATTTGAATTCAAAGTTCTCTCTATGATAATCGATTACCTATTGATGTAGTTGACTACCATGGTGACTTTTGAGTGAAAAAAGTGAAACAAGTTGAAAAAGTATCAAGATAATCAATTACTAACATTAGTAATCAATTACTAACATTAGTAATCGATTACATATGTTGAAAACTGAGTTTTATGGTTCCTAGAACACGTGTTAATCGATTACCAAAATTAGTAATCGATTACCACAGTTCTTGTTTCAACTGATTTCAGTTTCATTAAAAACTGGTAATAGATTACCTATTATTGGTAATAGATTACTACTGTTATGAGTTTTTAATGATGAAATCTTATCTTCTCTATAAATATAACTTTTTTCATAAACTTAAAAGAAGGATGACATATTTGATTAGAGAAAGAAAGGAAAAAAGAAAAACATTTTCAAGATCTGGAAATCATTTTTGAGTGAAGATCAAAACAAATTTTCAAAACAACTTTTCAAGAGCAAGTCTGAAAAACAAGAAAGATGTCTTCTTGAAAAAGAAATTCAAGAACTTCAAGATTATTGAGCTAATCTTTGTGGAATATTACTCTACACATTAGGTATATCAATTCTAATCTCTAACCTTTTGTTTTGTATGACTGGGTATGTGACTCTTTGAAATAAGGGTATCTCAAGAAAAAGTTTAAGAGAAATATTGAGATAGGTTTTCTTAAGTGGATGCTTGAGGTGTAAGAATTCTATTGTTTGTGTAATCTTGTGGGATCAAGATTAGGTGATTGAGTTTTTGATTATAATATTGCTTGTACGTAGGGGTGGGTATACGGACTGGTCTGACCCGTTTAAGACTCAGTCCGTAAAATCCGCATTTTATATGGGCTGGATAAGTCCAGTCCGTAAAATAAATAGACTTATTTTTTAAGTCCGTATCTAGCCCGCCAAAATTCGCAGATAACAGACCGCCGCGGGCCTAAATAATAGTTCAAAAAAATAAATTTTTAAAATATAAAAATACATAAAATTAGAAGAATTTTTTATTTATTTATAAGCTAAATTTTATCATACTAAAATTTATCAATAGTTAAAATAGTTTAAAATACTAAATATTAAAATATTAAAATAAAAATAATTACAAATACTTAAATAATAGTATCAAACTTTCAATAATAAAAGTATTAAAATGTCATAAAAATAATTCAAATGACAAAAACATATTAACTAAATATAATTTTAATGTCATAATAATTTAAAAAATTAAATACACAACTTATTATTAAAATCTTAATATTTAAAATATTAATTAGTGAAGTCCACGAACTAGCCGGCGAGCCCGCAGACTTCACGGGCCGGGCTCAAAAATCAAATATAATTATACGAATTAAAAAAAAATAGGTCCACTATCCGCGAAATCCACGGGCTTACGGACCGATCTGCGGACCCGGGTCCATCTACCCACCCCTACTTGTACATGGTGTTTGTAAAGAATATTATAGTTGAAAGATTGGATTTAGCAGGGAGCTAAGTCTGAAATTGGATATAGGCCTTTGTATGGCTGAATTAGTATAGATCACTGTGCAAATTCTCTCTTAACTTTCATACCTTGTTATAATTCATGTTGAATTGATAAAAAAAATTCCAAGTGAAAGAAACGTTTTCTTGAATATTATCAATTGTTGATTTGTGAAATCTGATATGATATATGCAATTTGGTAATAAAGTGAAAGAAGGTAACTACTAAAGTCAATTTGGATTACAACATCTATTCCACTCACTGCTACATGATACATATTTTACATCGGTTCTGCGAAGTCATCTACATTGGTTCTAAAATTGATGTAGAATAGAGCGACTTAGAAAATCTATACCTTTTTACATCGATTTTAAAACTGATGTAGATTATGCATAAATTTACATTAGTTCTCAGGAAAATCGATGTAGATTTTTGTATACTTTTACATCGGTTCTCAGAGAAACCGATGTAGATTTATGCATAAATCTACATCAGTTCTCAGGAAAATCGATGTAGATTGCATTTTTTAAAAAAAAATTATGCTTGTTTTTATATTCTTTCTAATTACCTGTAATAAACATATATATAAATATTAGAAAGATTTTTCATATATAAATATAATGGACAAATATTGGAGGAGAAAAATTGGAGCAGCAGATTTACACTATAAGAGAAAAGGAAAGGTATATAAGAATAGGAATAGTTACTTCCACTAAAATGGGAAAAAAAATTAGAAATAATATAGGACAAACATTCAACTTAAAATAAAAAAGAAAAGGCAGGAAAATGCAATTTCCAAAAATGAATTAAAAATTTACAAGACAATAAAACAAACTTGTAAATTAATCATTTGTAATTGAAACAGAATAGATAAAAAAAAAAAAAAAATGAAATATGGATGCAATAACTTGATGTTAAGCCTCCCTAAATGATGGAAAGGGTTAGGAGGAGTGGTAGATGATTTCTCCTTAGCTTCTCCTTTGCTCGGATCTTCTTCAAGGAGATGGAAACCACAATGATGAACACTAGATGGAGGATGATTCACGGATTGGAAGAAGGCTTAAGCCTTGGATGGAAGCATCCAAGCTTAAGGTTCAAGGGAAAGCTCACTTCAAAGAGGAGGAAACCTAAAAGGGTTCCTAAAAGTGTAGCTCTCTAAATTTGGTGACTCTTGAAGAAATTTGGCTGAATAAGCTCTCAAATTTCATTATTCTCAAAAGTGAATACAAAAATGTGAAGGGAGGACTTAAGTATGCACGGAAATGAAGCACATAGGCACCTAAACCAAAGCTACACAAATTGGCGCCTAAAGTTTGAATTCAAATTTGAAATTTGAATTCAAACTTTGGTGCACATGTGTAAGTCCGAAAATTTAGGTACCAAGGTGCATTTAGGTCTGATTTGAGAGTCATTTAGGGTTAATTTGAGTGTCACATGTTCAGCCACCAATGGTGCAAAACATGTGACTCAAATGTAACTTAAATGGCTTCCAAATTAAACCTAGTTTAACCTAATTAGCATACTTTAGTATTCCTTGTATTTTCCTATTCTAATGACCTAATTACATTGGTCAAACAATTACAATGGAAAGGAAAAATTACAAGAATGAAAATGAGCCCAATATTGGGTACCAAAAGCCCAAAGGCCCATGAAGCCCAAAACTAGGCCTAACTAGCCTAAAACTTAAAATGCTATTCTATGTGGTCCAAAATACAAGACCAAAATATATGATACCTATACTAACATCATGTATACAAAACATATGAAATTAGCTATAACAAAATATGGCCCATGAAAAGTTCAACTTGGCCCTTCCCAGGCCCATCGGGCCCATTGGGCCTTGACTGGCCCACACCTTCATGTCTAACCAACTCCTCTTGGCTCCTTCAATATGTCACCTCTTGCCTTCCTAGGCATGATTCCATCACTAAATGTACGAGACTATAAAAGTCCTGTAAAAGTGTCATATATACAAATGCTCAGCCTATACTAAGATTAGCCCACCATCACTAACATACTCTAATAAATATCACAATTTAGTTTCACCGCATAACAGAGATACAGAAAACTTGGTTCAAGAACCCGAAAATAAATTCTGTACAATTGAAAGAATCACACCAAATTTGACTTGGCAACACATGGAAACCCCTGTATATAGACCTGAAATCCAAAAGTACACTGCAAAAAATCGAACATGTTAGCATTCCTTGTAGGAGGAATGAAATAGCCCCTAGGCAACTCTGGCAAGCCACTGTAATACTTCAAAGCTGAAACAGCTGCTTGAACCTAACAACCATTTTTTTATTTAACAAGTAGACATTATTAGAGATGAAAAAATATAAAAAAGAAATTGATGCATAAAGACATTTTCTCCAACATACATGAATATCAAAATAAGATATATAAAAAAAAATATACCAGCACAACAAACATTGGCTTCCTACATAAAGCAACTTTGTTTCCTTCCAAAATTCTTTAACCGTGGAATAATAGAAGACTCATCACTATTGCAATGTTTTACATGCTTATGTTTATCCTAATGTGATTAAAAATATTCATTGGTGCAAGAATAATTTCAACTGGAAAATATAATGGATAATTAATGGTTTCATCATATATGCCCAGTCCCACTAGTAAAACCGCAAAAACCACCACCCCCAACAGAATCCCAGTTTGATAACAGTAAAAACTTGTTATCTTCTGTGGTACAACAGTATATCTGGCATTCAAGAGATCATACACAATCAAGAAAACAGTAACAAGTAACAGCAAGAAAGAAAGAAAAGAAAAGAAATTAAAATAAAAACAACACAATTTAGAGTGAGGAGGAAAGATCATCAATTCTAGTAAAAAAGTGAAATACTGCAAAGGAACAAAAGTGTTGAAAAAGGAAAACCCTCTCAAAACTGCAAAGCAACCCATTTGTAGAATAGACAACAAAGCTCCCTAATAACAAATATTTCGCAACAATAACAATGCAAGGAACTGTTAATATTTTATATTGCAAGGAGCGCCAAGAAGTCAAAAACCAACCTCATCAGGAATTTCTTTACTCAACTGCTCAAGTACTGTCCCCAAAACCTTTAAGGTAGCAAAAACCCTTTTCCTCTTCACAGTGTTGCGCTCCAACCTACATTCAGAAGAAAACACTTGATGAGGGCAGAAATAAGCATAATCAACATAAATCATGTAGCAGGTATAAATTAAAATCCAAGACAGAGATAGAAAATCATTAAAATTTGTAATGAGCTATTATTTTGGGTAAATAGTGAATAGTGAAATTTTCAGGTTTGGGCGAAGCGGCAAGGACGACGACGCGCAGCGGCAACGGCGACGAGCAGCGGCAGCGGCGACAACGCGTAGCGGCGACGACGCGTAATGGCTCCGATGGACGAATAGCGCTGAGGGAGGGTTTTGGAAAATTAGGGTTGAAATGAGAGTTCTTCATAGAGAGAGGGTTCTCATGCTTCTCAATACTACATCGGTTGGGTGAACCGATGTAAACCTATTTATAATTATTCATAAAATTACCATCGTGTATTCAATACTACATCGGTCCCATTAAAAACGATGTAGAACACTCAATATTTACATCGGTCCCAACCATAACCGATGTAAATATGCTTTATATTATATACTTATTTATAAAAATGCCACCGTATTTGATTTTTACATCGGTTTTACCTAAACTGATGTAGAATTGACGACGTTAAATAATAACTTTCTAGTAGTGACTATATGTATTAAATATGATAAATTGTATCTTTGATTGGTGTGTAATCTGAATGTGATTAGTAAAATTTGCATAAGAAAGAAATAAATTAATAAGAAAGCAAGAAAGACCATTATAAGTCATCTAAGTGAAGAATATATTCAACCCCCTTCTGGATTCGTGATCTACTCGGGACTAGGAGTGGGTATATGGGCTAACCCAGCCCATTTAAGGCCCGACCTACAAAGCCCACATTTTTAACGAGTCGAATAAGTCTGACCCGTAAAATAAATGGTCTTTTTTTTAAAGGTCCGTATCCGCCCCATAAAACCCGCAGTTAAATAGGTAAACCCACGGGCTTAGTAAAAACTTCAAAAAAGATTATAAAGAAAAATCCTTCCTTCCCTTTTTCTATGCCAAGAATATATAGGAGAGAAATATATTAAAAAATTATATTAAGATATAAACATCAAATAATCTAAAATAAAAAATTATAAAAGTCTTAACATACAAAGATTTACACATTTAAATTAAAACATTAAAATATCAACATATGAAATTTGTACATTTAATATAAAATATATTTATGCATAAAAAAATCTACAACATATTAAGTTAGCAAAAGTGTAATATACTTTAAATATTAAATATAAATTCAACACTTATTACTTATACTTATTTATTAAAAAAAAATACTAAAATCACTCATTATTTAAAATTTCTCATAAATTTAAAAGGAAAAAATATATCTCTCTTAAACGAGCTAGCTCGTAGGGATTGCGAATAAAGCCCGTGAAATCCGCAAGCTTCGCAGGCCGGACTTAATTTCTTCTATAATTATGTGGATTTTTAAAAAATAGGCATGTTAACCGTGCAGGCCGCGGGCTTTGCAAATTGGCCCGCAAGCTTGAGCTCATACACCCACCCATACCTGAGACCAACAATTGGTACCAGAGCTAAAATTTGATAATTACTCAAGTTAGATCCTTAGAACCCTTAGAATGACTAGTAATCAATTACCTTTTGCTGACGTTGCCTCCATAAACAGATCCCTTCTATTTTGTGGTAATAACTATCCTTTTTAGAAAGTGAGAATGAAAATCTTTATATAATATGTTCATAGGAGTATTTGGCAGGCAGTAATTACCAATTACAAAATTCCTACAATAAATGTAGAAGGGAAAATTGTAACATCCCATTTTTCAAAAAATACTATTATTATTATATAGTATTTTGTCAGAATTATTTTATTATTATAAGAAAATATTATTTTGTACATTTTAAATAATTATTTTATACATATTAAATAAATATTTTTATTAGCGTTTAAATAATTAATTATATATTTTAAAGGATAATTGAAGAGTCGACTAATTATATACTTTATTATAAAATCTAAAAGGTTGATTTTATAGGATATTTTGATATTGAAATTATATTATTATATTTTGAGTTAAAAATATTAAAACTTGAATAGAAAGTGTAAGATAAATTATAAAATGAAGTGTTCAAAACCTAGAGAAAACTAGAAACAAAACTAGTCTTAAATATCTTTGAAACTTCTCTAGTACATTCATACTTTCTATACCATTTTTCTCCACCACTAATAAGTCTTTTTAGTGCTCACATTCAGTTTTTTTTAAAAGAAAAAAGAAAAATAAAGAGCCAAGAAGACAACCAAAGAAAAGAACAAAAGTATACAAAAAGTTTGTGAAAAAGTGAAAAGAAGTTGAAACAAATTTTAGAGCACTTGGTATTATATTTTTGGAACTTATTTCTTGGCTTTAATCTCTATTTTTAGTGGATGGATATACCTTCTAATTGTTCAAATTAATTGCACAAATTTTTGTTTCATTTTGTAATCAACTCTAGAGTCATTTATAGGACTTTTGCTTTGAAAGCTAGCGTTGAAATTGTTCTTTATTTTCTTGCTTTGTATTTTTTAATATTCTTTAAGTTTGTCACATCTCTTCCTACTTAAGTTTAGTCTTTCTTAATTGTGCTTTTCAGTTTTGGTTTTTGGCTTCTTGTCTCTCTTTGTGCATTGTGCATTCTTATGGTGTAGGTACACTTTCAAGGACTCGTCACTTGATAGATGTGGATAATTTGAGACACATTGGATCAACTTCAAAGGGGGCATCAACTTGGAGAGATTGAGGCACCTCTAAATTTGAGAGAAACACCTTAGTGAGGCTAACTTGGGTGTTCATTTTGCACCAAAAAAATTGAAGGAAGGAAGGCTAGCAACGAAATTAGAGACGGAAATATTCCATTGAAAGAAAATTTTTCACAAAATTAGTCACAAATTTCGTCTCCAAATCTTATTCAAATTTCTTTTTCAATAGTTTGAATTGTATTTCATTTGCATTTCAGTTGTATTTCATTTAGTTTCATTTTGGGTTAATTTCCTTGATATTTCTTGCCTTCCTAAGCTTGTACTTGACCTTTAAGAGTGTTTTGGGAAGCCTTTAGTGTTCTCCCACCTCTCCTAAATATTATTAGTTAAACTTAATACTCACTAGTACTTATGGAAGTGTCCTAAGGGGCTCCAAGTGTCACTTAGGCTTTCACTAGGGACTGGTCTAGTTTTACTAGCTTTATAGTTCGTTTAATACTTGTGAAAGTGTTCTAAGGGGCTCTAAGTGTCACTTAGACTTTCACCCTAGGGAAAAGCTACTAGTATATATTTTAATTGCTTTCCGTTACTTGCTTTAAATTAGTATACTTGTTTAAGGGCGTTCTTCATTAGCCAATTTGTTTAGAAGGCTATATTTTTGCCTATTAGGGGCCTCGTGCACACACACACTAAAAAGTTTTTGTGAAAATCTTTATCACTTCAATCTTTGCTTCTATTTGCAAATTTTGTGAAAATCTTTTCAAGCAAAGATGAGTGATTATTCTAGCCATAGTAGTGTTCATGGTTATAACTCCCATAGTGATAGAAGTACCACTAAAAAAGAAATTATGCAATTGAAAGAATATATTAGGAAAAAGGAAGAGGAAAATATAAAAAAGAAGAAAATAGAAGTAATAATGAGGATATTAGAGAAATTTTGGCCAAACTTATGGTTAGCCATACTAATGGGAATGGTGAAACTAGCAAGCCCAAGGGCTATGATGATGTTGGGCCTTCCAAACCTAGACAACATGATGGTGAAGGACCTTCTAAGCCTTCTAAAGGCAAGCATGTAGAAGGAGCCTCTAGGCCCAAAAGCCAACATACACACTCCCACATCACTTCAAGTGAAGGGTTTTATAGTAGTCATCATGATGATAGCTATTATCAAAGATCCTCTAGGAAAAATAGGCCTAAGCAATAACAACATTCCCGTAGATAACCTAGAGTGGACCTTCCTCCCTTCCATGGTAAAGATAATGTGGAAGATTATCTAGATTGGGAGATGTAGGTGGAACAACTCTTCACTTGCCACAATGTGAGGGAAAAGAAGAAAGTTCCCATGACAACCCTAAACTTTCAAGATGCAAAATTTTGGAAATACTTATTCTCTCATTGTGGATAGTGGTTCATGTAAAACTTTTTGTAGCTCAAGGTTGGTTAAAAAGCTTAACTTCACTTCTATTGTCCATCCTAAAGCTTATAAATTACAATGGTTAAATGAGGATGGACCATTAGAAGTCAAGGAACAAGTAAACATCTTTTTCTCCATTGGGAAGTACAAGGATGAAGTTTTATGTGATATCATACCCATGGAGGCAAGTCATGTATTACTTGGATGACCTTGGCAATATGATAGCAAAGTTATCCATGATGGCCTTACTAACAAAATAAGCCTCGCTCATATGGGCAAGAAATATGTGTTGACTCCTCTATTACTTCACAAACCTTAGAGGATTAACTCACAATGAAAAAGAAAATAAATCGTGAAAAAAAAGAAGAAGAAAGAAAAAAGCCAAAAATAATAACCCATTAAGTCTTAGTGGGGAGGAAGAGGAGGTAATTGAGTTGGAGCAAGGTGTCTCCTTCAACATCGTTGTTCCTAAAAGTACTTTTTCTCTCAAACATGAAATAAAACAATCATTTCTAGTAAAACAACCTTTTTACCTTCTCTACATTAAAGAGATACTAGTTGTCACCAGTCTTGTAAATGAATTTAATGATCTATTTCCTAAGGAAGTTCCTAGTGGACTTCCACCTTTAAGAGGAATAGAACATCAAATTGACTTGATTCTTGAAGCTAGTCTACCCAATAGGCCTACTTATAGAACAAACTCCTAAGAAACAAAAGACATTAAGAGTCATGTTGAAGACTTGATGAAGAAGGGTTGGGTTCAAAAGATCCTTAGCCTTTGTATTGTGTCTGTCATATTAGTGCCTAAGAAAGATGGGAAATGGAGGATGTGTATATATTGAAGAGCTATAAATAACATCACCATTTAGTATAGGCACATAATCCCTAGGTTATATGATATGCTAGATGAGTTACATAGGGGAAATACATTTTCCAAAATTGATCTTAAAAGTGGTTACCATCAAATAAGAATTATAGAAGAAGATGAATGGAAAATCGCTTTGAAGACCAAGTTTGGTTTATATGAATGGTTAGTCATGACTTGATTCTTGAAGCTAGTCTACCCAATAGGCCTACTTATAGAACAAACTCCTAAGAAACAAAAGACATTAAGAGTCATGTTGAAGACTTGATGAAGAAGGGTTGGGTTCAAAAGATCCTTAGCCTTTGTATTGTGTCTGTCATATTAGTGCCTAAGAAAGATGGGAAATGGAGGATGTGTATATATTGAAGAGCTATAAATAACATCA